TGAGAAGGAAAAACCAACTTAGTTGACTGGAAATCCCAAGATCTAAGTTCAATGGGACAACCTACTTGCATAGACCTTGTGAGGTCACATGAGAGTTCTTATCCCCAATTTCATTCCTATGATGAAAATAATGACTAAAATATGGAAAAGGTTAAGCAATGCTTTTAATGACCACTATGTGATTCAGTGAGTCGAACAACATAAGTCACATATGGGAGAGTTAAGTGGAGCCGCTTCAAAGAGACTATTGAAACATAGTTCTCTAAACTCTTGCAGAACCAGGAGATGTCCACGGCTATATGGACATACCATAGGAACCAAATTCTTGTCTGTAAGATATTTGTGTGAGGTATGTAATCGCTTACACCAATGGCGGGACAGTTCAAGGACATAACGTCTACTGGACAACAAGTAAAGTAAACATATTTTCACAAGGGAAGGTTCAAAGGGGGACGCCTACATATCCTATGCAAATATCGAACGTAGAATCTATCACCACATCGAATCAGTGTTTGAACCATCAAGTTCATTCATGTGGGAAATTATTGGAAAAATTGAATGAATTGATGTTATTTATAACTAATTAATTATAAGTCATGTCACTTAGTGAATGAACATAATTTTTGGTTTAAATTTGCATCCATTCAATCATACCTATTCAATAATTCTCTTTATGAAAAGATTAAATCCTTTCATGAAAAGGTTATGCCATTTCATCAATAGGAGGAGGAGGAGATGAAGTTAACTTGAGGAGGATGAGGAGGTGGAGGAGGAGGGGGTTGACTGCCACATCAGCAAAAACTAACGGAAAGTAACAAAAGGGATAAAAATGAAAACGAACTAAAAGTTCGATAATTGTATTATAAGTTTCAAAAGTTGGATGACCAAAATGCAAGCGCACTAAAAATTCGAGAATTATTTATATACTTTACCCTAAAAAATTAATGTATTATACATAGTGTTGATTTCATGAGAAAAATGCACGCATATAAAATTATTACCATTTATTATAAAATTTTAAATTATATAATAATAATATTATTATTAATTTATAATGAAAGAGTAGAATAATTTAGGTAATTAATCAATTATATCTTCTTCTTCTTTTTTGAAAGAGCGCCAATTATATGTAATTCAATAAAAACACATAAATTATAAAGATTATTTAAATACGTCATAATTATTTATTTATAAATAAATATTTTTTTTTATTTTTAACATATGCTCTTTGAAATAACAATCCAATTTTATATATGAAAAGAAGGTAAAATAGCATAAGAGATTCTTGTACTTTTAGAAGAAAAAAACTAATGTGGTTATCATATTATTTTTTTCTCTTGGTTCTTTAACTCAGAAAATAAATTCAATGTGATTCTTTGACTAATTATTTTTCATCTTTGATCGTTATGGTGTTGATGTGACAGTTCACGGTGCTGTCATGACAATCCATAGTGCTGACATGATAGTCCACAATGTTGACATAGGATGACAAATTAACATGGCGGATGAAATGAAAAGTTGACTAAACTGTCACGTTAATACCTTGGACCGCCACGTCAACACAATAAACTGGCACGCTAGTATTGTAACAGGCAACAATGAAAAACATTGGTCAAAGGGCTACATTGAATTTATTTTTTTAGTTAAATGGATACATTGAGAGAAAAAAATAATATGATAATTACATTGATTTTTTTCAAAAGATACTTTTTACCTAAAAAGAATAATTGAAGATAGTTTAACTGTTTTTTCAAGATATTCCAAATTTGATTGGGATAGATGAAAACAAGTGGGTACATACTCAAATTGCTCACCACAATTAATATGATTATGTACTTCAAATTTCAACTTTCTTTTACCAAAAGGGATTGTAAATCTCCATACTGATTCGTATGAAAAGGAGAAGAAAACACGGTTCAAGTTGTTGGAAAATTGGACCCACTTAACCATAGATTATAACATAACACCTCAGGTCAGCTAGTAAACACCACTAACCATTTACCACTGGACTTTTTTCTTTTATAGAAAAGTACAATTTCAAATTTTATTTATAAAATCCACACTCATTTGTTATCTTCTATGAAAGTGGTACCTAAATTTAAGCAAAATTTTGAAAGGATCCAAGAGAGATCAAATGATAGATCGTTTTGGTTCTAGAAAATATAAGCTATTTTTATTTTCATTTAAAAAACAGAAAACGTTAAAAAAATGTTTAGTTGTAAATTTAGAAAATGATTTCTAACAAATCAAAACAAAAATAAGTGAAAATATAAAAACATAAAATAGATGTTTTAAAGGTTTTTATTTTGAAATTTTGAAAAATAAGAAAACACATAATCTATATTTTTAACTTAACTTCCACGGATTCAAATCCTTTTAATAATAATTTTTACTCAATGATATCTAAAACCTCAAACTTTTGAAAAAAAAACAATATGATCCCTAAACTTTTTTACACTCAATTTGGTCCTTAAACTAAGTTTTTTAATAATTTAATTTTTTATTTTTTATTTAATGTATTAAATATATTAATAACTTTTTATATTTTATATTTAAATAATTTTTATTTTTTAAAAAATTAATTAAGTCCTTAAATTTTTAAAAATAATAATTTAGACCCTCAAGCTTAACCAAATACTCAATTAAGTCCTGAATTTTTCTTCTCAGTTTAAGGGTCACATTAAGTGTAAAAAAGTTCAAGGGTTATATTAGTTATTTTTTAAGTTTTAGGCTCTTAAATACCACTAAACATTACTTTTATTTTAACGACACTTTTCTGTACTCTTGTTTACAATAATATTTTAGTATAATTTTTAATTTAATTTATATCCAATATGCATTAACATTATATTATTATTATAAACTAAAATAATTTTTATGTTATAAAATTTCTTATCATTTTTTTTTAAATTTGCATAACTCAAATATTGACTTTTTGACCAAAACATCACTGTATAAATAAAATATTACTTGTCAGTCACTGTTTCCCAAATAATGCTTGATCTAACATCTGAGAGAAGGAGGCGCGTTTGGCGAAACGCACTTTAGGAGAAATGTGTGGTTGGTAGGAAGCACCTTAGCTGAAAACCGCTGACACCCGATAAAACCATCGATACCCCTGGAAGGCGCATCCCCAGGGGCGCGCCTTACCAGGGTTTTTTTGACAACCCTGGAAACCCTGGTAAGGAGCATCCCATGGGACGTGTCTTCCCCCTCCCATCCCGATTTTCGGCCAAATTCTCCCACCTATTTCCCCAACCGGGGCCTATATAAACCCCCTTCCCTAACTCATATAAATCAAACCTAAATATCTCTCATTCCTATCTATTTTCAATCTAGTAAGGTATAATTATTTTTAGAATTTATTTTTTATTCATTAAAATTGTTATTATTTAAGTAATTAATTATTTTATTATTATTTTATTTTAGTACTTAATTTTTTATTTGATTATTTAATTGTAAACTTATTTAGTTAATATTTATTAATTGCAATTAAAAAATTGAAGGTGCGTTGTTGTGATTGGATGTTGATCATATTTCGAGTCATTTTACCGATACGGTAAGAATACGAAAATCTATATTATTTTTAAATTTATAAATATTATGAAATTGATTATATATTATTTAAATTATTAGAATTTATTTAAATAATTTTGAAATAGTAGTTCAAATTTTAATGGTTAGAATTTATTTGTTAGAAAAATGATCGTATATTAGAAGTTTTTATTCTCAACAAGAAGATAGAAACACCGAGGCATATCTGGCCATATTTTTCTATGGTTGGATTTGGTTACTTAGCAAAAATTGAAGGAGGTTGTAAACTTGAACCTGCCCTGATTTATGCACTAATTGAGAGACGGAGGCCATAGACACACACACGTTCCATCTACTATATTGGGAGTGTAACATTATGATAGAGGATGTTTCAATGCAACTGGGACTCCCAGTCGATGGAACTTTCATTTGTGGTGTGCAGATGATGATTGGGGGGTTTATGCAGCGAGTTTCTTGGAATTTGCTTGCCCAATTTCAACGGTGGCCGAAAAACATTAGGGCGTCTGAAAAGTGAATTTAAAGAGTTGCGCAAAAATTGTTCGGAGGAAGAGGCAAAAACATTTATCTAGGCATATATAATACAACTTATTGGAGGTATAGTGATGCTTGAAAAATCTTGGAACCAGGTCCATTGTATGTGGTTGAGGCAATCGATTTTGAAGTAGCCAACACATTGAGTTGTGTGTCTACAGTGTTGGCATTTTTGTTTAGAGAAATGTGTTGGGCTACAAATTATAAGAAGATTGCTATTGGCAATTGTCTCATGCTTCTCCAATCGTAGGTATGGTATCGCATGCTTTTTTTGTATCCGATCGTGAATGAGCCATATGCCTTTCCGTTATTTTCAAGTTATCAATAGTAAATTTATTTTTAAATAATGTTTTCGATTATTATAGAATGACATATATATTGAATAGGTGGTCAAGTAATAGGAAAAATCATCGTGATATCCCACAAGAATTACAAGATATTCGATTACTCATTGGCCAGAAAGTTGTTGTAGAAGTACATTTTTTTATTTTTATTTTTTATTTAATTGTATTTGTATAATTTGAATCTCTTTTTAATTTTGATAAGAAATATATATTTTTGTTTTAGTTCAAATGGTTGCCACATTTGGATGGTGAATTGAGGGTTTGCATCACACTTAACCTAAGTGAGATATTGGATGTATAGGTGGCAGTTGTGCCCCATATTTGTTATGCTATTGTTGAGTGACATCTGACTGATCGTGTGTTTCGTCAGTTTGGGTTTACACAATTTATTTCAGAAGCACCAAGGAACCTAAAAAATATGCATAACATCTATATACAGTGCAAAAAAGAGGTGAATTGGTTGGTGAAGAATAAAGAGTGGTTGGCGATATGGGAGAACCGACATCAACACTTGTTCCATCGATAGTATATAACATAAACTGGTTCGATGGTTTTAGATGGCTATATTAAATGGTTCAGCGTAAACGAAAATCCATTCTTACTTTCAGCAGAAACACAATGGGTGTCAATTCATCGTCGCCGAAAAAAACGTCTGAAGTCACAACATCATCACATCCCACTACTGGACGAAGAGCATGTGCTTCCGGGGCATCCTCAGCTATGTCACCGAAACCATCACTCCAGCAACACCGGTTTACATCCCTAAAATTCTAAATCATATAGGGATACCACTTTACTTTAGACGCCACCGTAATCGGTTTAGATGCTACATCCGCAAGTCCAGATGTCATATTTGTCCGTTCAAATGCCACCACCGTTTGGTTATGCACAAAGCCCACAGGGTTTTGTGACACCCACTGGCAGATATTTTTCAACTATGCTTATGAATCCAACATTTAGTTCCTACGTGAATTATGTTGTGGGTGGTCCTCCACCACAAACACCTCAACCGCAGTATACGTCACAGACATCGATGTCCATTTTTTTTCACAATTTTTGCAGTTCTCAACGAGTGGTGGGATTGTCAGTAATACACCTCTAGGGTCCTTATTCTATAGAGGTCATATATCTGCATTCAGCCCTTATCGAGATAATATTGCTGAAAGTGATGATAACGATGAAAACGAGGAGGAGGAGGAGGACGACGACAACGACGAGGAGGAGGAAGAGGAAGATAACGACGATAAGGATGACAAGGAATAACATATAAGAAGAACCCTCTTAGAAGTAGACGACCACCACTATGTGGAACACATTCCAGGATACATCGACGAATCTGAAAACCATGTCAATCTTTTTATTTATTGTGTGTTTATTATGTATTTGCCTCTTATTTTTCCTTATAATTGGTTTTTACCTCTTATTTTGTTTCCTTATTATGTATTTATATAAAATAAGTTTTTGTATGATGTTTAATGTCTTTTTACGAACAAGGAAAAACAAGACACAATAATTTGGGTAGGCTCATTTTATAAAATTGTTTCCTAAGACCTATATATATGTGCGAGGTGAAATCTAATTTTAATCTATTCAGGCAAAAGCTTTAGTTGTTTAGCTAGGATGACTACTATTCAAGCAAATGTTTTTTATTGCAAATATTTAAGCATGTCTTTCAACAACAAAATCTTTCAGTTGAGGAGTTGAAGCTTAAAATAGAAAGAAAAGTTAAACTCGGGAGGAAAAGAAGAATCTTTTTGCTATATTGTAGATTTCTAATATCATTTAAGAGGTTTTTTCTAAGCGATGATATCGACCTTTGTGGTATGATTGAGACATACTACTCTCATTTTGTATCTTATGTGGATTTGTTTGTAGAGTTTGAGGATATTGATGATGCTTCGAGTTTGACTACCCAACAAATTAAGCATAATGAGTTTGGAAACACGGAGATAGATGATGAACACCCTGAAGCATGGTTCAAACGTAATTTGGCATCATAATATCATTAAGAAAAGTTTATTTTAGGTGTTTCTGTATTATTTTATTTACTGTTTAAGGTCTGTGAAAGATGTGTGGTATTTCTGGTTCGTTGGTTTGGTATGCTTCATGTCATGTTTAATAATTTGTTGTTTAATGTAATGTTTATAGTTTGTTGTTTTTATAGTTCATATCTATAACAAATCTCATATTGAATTTAATTAGTCCTACTAAGAACAAAATCCATTACAATATTGCTTTCACGGTTCCAGAAACATCAAAAGCAACATCTAAATGTGTCATCATATGAGCAATATGTTTGTAGAATCTTTTCGATGTACGAAACAGATAAACGTCTGGCAATAGTTGAGATAGTCATGCTTTTTGGTTTAGGCTGGACAACACTTGATATCCTTCTTGTAGCTTTTATTTTATGTGAAGAAATCATATGCCTAAAGCGTAAGTTGCTTCGATGAAACCCATGGTAGAGGCTTGCTTCAAGATATGACAACCAACTTCAACATTGGCACAATATTTGGAAAAACACTGAACTATACCCTCCCTAAACAATGCATCTGGATTTCTGGAAACATAAGCCTTTCGTACGAGCAATCATTTAGAAAATCCAAAGGTTTCAAAGCATACTGATGAAGTCAAACATTTGTAGATATAAATCTATAATTTGATGCCAAGAAAAAGTCTCATCAAGTTAAACAAAGGTGGAGAAAGTTCTCAATAGAATTAGAAGCAGCGCAACGTAGAATCTCAACTAATATATCATTTAGGAGATAATATAATGAATATTTAGTTGCATTGAAAACGATGGAAAAGTCTATGAAATTGATAGATAACATAATCAGAAAGATACACAGAAGGCAAAGTATTGAGGACCACTTGCTTCATCTCTCATATATATAGTGTATGACGCTGGATAAGATAAAATCTAAAGAAAAAGAAAGGCACATTTCAATATAAACACTTTCCCCATTTTCATATAATCTTTGCCATGCCATTTTATTATTATTATTATTCAGAGAATCTATGTCATGTCATGGTGTTTCATCTTATTCGAAATGAAAGGCGCATTCCTTGGGAAACGTTTTCCATTATTATTCAGAGAATCTCTACCATGTCATAGTGTTTCATCCCATCTGAAATAAAAGGCGCGTTCTAAGGGAAACGTTTCCATTATTATTTAGAGAATCTCTGCCATGTTATAGTGTTACATCCTATCTGAAATGTAAGACGCGTTCCAAGGGAAACATTTTCCATTATTATTCAGCCCATCCGAAAAGAAAGACGCGTTCCAGGTGAAGCATTTTCTATTATTATTTAGATAATCTCTGCCATGTCATAATGTTCTATCCCATCAGAAATGAAAGGCGTGTTCCAGGGGAAGCGTTTTTCATTATTATTCAAAGAATCTCTACCATGTCATAGTATTTTATCCCATCCGAAATAAAAGGCGCGTTCTAGGGGAAGTGTTTTCTATTATTATTCATCCCATCTGAAATGAAAGGCGCGTTCCAGGGGAAGCATTTTCCATTATTATTCAGAGAATCTTTGTCATGTCATAGTGTTCCATCCCATCCGAAATGAAAAGCACGTTCCAGGTGAAGCATTTTCCATTATTATTCAGAGAATCTCTACCATGTCATAGTATTCCATCCCATCTGAAATGAAAAACACGTGTTACATTACTATTCAGATAATCTCTGTCATTTCACATAATTGACATGAATTGTTCTCCGACCTTCAATATCTTAAACTCTTCAATCCTGAAACTATGTATCTTTGAAATCTCAAACTCTCAAACGTGTAAACTTTCAAACTTTGAAACACTCAAACTAAGAAAATGGCTTATATTTCAGTTGTTGTCTACTATGATAGAGAAATTGGGGAAGATGAATATGAGGTTATTTTTAGATCAGATCATTATATCCTTCTATCTTTCAGGAGAAACATCACTCTTCATGATTTAATCATAAAAATCTCAATAAAAGCTTGTGTTGGAAACAGTTGAAGATTGGCTAAACTTCAATACATATTTCTGACTGAAATTTTCCACTAATATATACATCATTCAATCTCTCAAATGACGACGATGTTACTATGATGGTTGATGCTTCCAGTCAAAATTTGAACTCTATTATAGAAATGTATGCCACTTTTGTTAACGTGCATCCAGTTCAGGGTATGTTCTTATCCTCCCACTATGCCTTGCCTGAACCAGTTGATCAAATTGACATTCCAACTGAAACAATATGTAATGATTTCCCGTCATTAATGGCTAACCCACCTCTTGTTATCATACCATCAAGTTCTAGGGGAAGGTATTCATCTGCCACTTTTTCCAACCTCAATATAGAGATGCCTTCTAGTTCCCGGGAGAGACATTCATCTCCCAGCACCTTCGACCTCGATATGGCAATACCTTCTACGCAACGTGGTGCTTTTGGTGACGTCGTAAAAAAGTTACTCTTTGACACGAGCTCAGTGGCTGAAGGAAACATTCTAGAGCAATGTGGTCATTTGCAGCGGGAAATTGTTTTGGCAGTGGTGAATACGCCAGTTGGTGTGGGACCTCGCACTGTTTCCCCTGATTTTGGCAGCGACCTCTTGTGGGTGTTTATAAAATTAATGTTGATGGAGCTCGAAGGGATGCGACAGGTTTTGCAACGGGCGGGGGTGTCATTCGAGATGCTGGAGGGAATTGGATTCGGGGTTTCTCTAAACCTATTGGTAAATGTTCGATTATTAACGCAGAACTTTGGGGTTATTTTGAAGGTATTTCTCTAGCTTGGAGCCTAGGTTTGACGTCGTTTATAGTGGATTCAAATAGCCGAAAAGCTATCAGTGAGGTTAATGCTAAGCCGGGCACGAGATATGTGCCCACACCTAGTAATATGGTTGTGTTTGCCCCTAGGGAAAGGAATATGGTTGCAGATTGCATGGCTCGGTTAGTATGGAGTCTGACTCCTGGTCTTCACGTGTTTCAGGAACCCCTGCAGCTGCTATAGTTTTTCTCCACAATGATGATGCTGTGTAGAAATGTTTAGACCCTTGGTCGTTCCTTTTATTCCCAAAAAAAAAATAAAAGTTTACTAAGTTATTTGATTCATCATTGTGTCTATTTTTAATAATGTATTACTTCAACACAATTATGTTATTTGATGATAATAACAATAGTAATAAATTTTGATTTTTTTCAAAAAAAAAATTCATGGATATATCTTATTGATATAATATTTTAAATTGTTTTAAATAATTATAATAAACGTTAGATATAATCACTTGAATATTTATTTCTATAAAAAGATAATTTATTTTAATACATTTTTAAAAAATAAAATGAATAAATTTGACGTTTTCAAAAATAGTTACAATAGAATTTTTTAAATTAATATTTGATAAATTAATAAATTTTTAAAAATAATAATTTTTCTTAACCTTGATTTGGGTCGAATGTCTAAATTAATAATTTTGATAAATTAATAGGATAATAATTTTTTGAAAGACCCTTATATAAATTTATGATCCTTTAATATATAAATTAATAATTATATAAAATTACAAATATAACTATGACAACTTAGTAAAATATGATTCTACTGTTGTTTGCTTCTTAAAATTTAAATCTAGTTGTATTTTATCTCAAGAATTACAAATGTTTGATATTATTTATATAGTGGTTGATTTCCCTATCATACATAAATTTGCATTAAGTTTTAACTAGTACTATGTAGTATAATGAATTTTTTTAGGTGTATGTATTGTATTTAATTAGTCATACTGTACATGAACATCATTCAATTAGTCAATACAACGTATATGTTTTATTCATGGAGATTAATGTAAGTTCATTGAATCATAAAAAATATCTTTAAATGAATAAATTATTAATTTATCGACTAATTAATACATTTTTAAATTAATAAAATTGTATGATCATGATATTATTAATTTATAGAGGTTTTATTGTATCTCCTTATTGTAACAATACTTTTTGAGTAAAGTACATAAATGACCCCTCAACTATTAAAATTTACAAAATAGTCATCAACTATTTATATGTTCTAAACTTGTCCTTTTCCATTAAAAAATGATATCAATTTGAGTTAGATGTTAACCTATTAATTGAGATATGATAACATATCATCCCAAAATTTCAAACGACTATCATATCACAGTCAGCAAGTTAACGTCTAGCTTAAATTACCATTAATTTTAACGAAAAAGGACGAGTTTAAAACATATAAATAATTGGGTGATTATTTTTTTAATTT